GAGGCAAGTAAGTAGTCAGGTCCCTAAGGAGGTGAACTGTAGAAGACAGGTGGGCTAGCAGGGCACTTTGAGCCATTAGGGAAATGTAAATTAAGAGCACAATGGGGTACTAGTTCATAGCCAGTCATCTGACTGTGATAAAAATAAATGTATTTGAGAGGTTACGAGGAAAGGAAAATGCTGTCATTGATGGTGGGAATGGAAAAGGATGCAGCCCTTTGGAAACTAGAGAGAGAGTTTTTTAAAAGGTAAACACAGATTTTCCCAAAGAACCTAGCAATTCTACTCCTGGTTATCAAAAGAAATGAGACAGTTTGCACAAAGACTCTTCCATGAGCACAGGTTTGGAGGAGTAATACACACACACACACACACACACACACACACACACACACACACGCATGCACGCGCAAGTGTGGAAGCAGCCTAGTGATCATCCAAGGATAAATGGGATGCTATACACTTGGATAAATGGAATGTGGTACATTTGCCCACCATCAGTGTGGTTGAACCTCAGAAAAGAGACATGCCTAGGAGGCCATGAGTCAGTGTCGTGGGTCTGGAAGGAGGAGGAGCCCAAGGCCCTTCATCTCCTGTCCCACGTCCTTCATGTACTTTTAGACAACTTGGCCCCTCAGGTACTGTTTCTCCTCTCAGGTGCTTGCCTTGGAGCCCCTGCAGTCCTTTGATTTAACTCACTGGATTCTGCTTGTGCTATAACTGAACACTGGCAGTTTTTGCCTTTCTCCTAGAGCACCCACTGCCGGTCACTCTCCCTCCACGCCTGCTTCTTCCTATCCCTCCTTAGACACGCAGCCTCTAGTGCAAGACTTTTCATAGGCAATGAGTACTTTCCTTAAGTGGATTTGGTTTGAATTTAGCTTCATTCTGTTATTTACTTTTAAAAACTGCACTTGAATGTCATAGCGAAGTTTCCAGAGGGGTCTTTTGTGTGAGGGAGGGTCTGTGTTCAACAAAGATGCTTTTCCCTCTACCTTCTGACCTCAGAGATACTACTTCATGCTTATTTTCATTCACCTGCTTTAACTGTGTCTGCTGCAGGTAAGGTTGTCAGGGATCATTGTGAATATCCCTCTGCTACTTGCTTACCAGGTCTCCAGTGTGTATTCTCCCCAGTTTAGACACCTAAAAATATTTTCACAGACTGATACTTGCTCGTTTCTCCTCCAAGTTCATTCATTGCTGTGTTTGCCACTGCCTTGGGTGGCTGTCAACACTCACCTACTTCAGTCTTGGGATAGACATCTAGAAACAATTTTCATTGTCTTTTTCTTTTAGGAGAGAGTGGGGTGAAGGGGGGAGAAGTGTGAGTATATAGACAGAGCCTTACCATGTAGCCCAAGATAACTTCAAATTTGGAGCAAGCCTCCTGTTTCTGCCTCCTGAGTGCTGGGATAATGGTGCTGCTAATGTATCTCTGCTTCACAGTTAGAATAGAATGCTTTTCCCTGATTCTTTTTATTCAGGCTAATTACCAAAATATGCTTGGTAGCTTTTAAAAATCATAGGTAGAAATATCATAAGAAATTTGACCATGTGTAAATTTTTTTTGAAATTTCAAAAATATTTATTGAAATTTCAATCTCGAGAATGACAGCTTTTGTTTCTTCTTTCATTTCCTATTTATTTTAGCTTTGAAACAGATTGTCTTTGAGCTGCTGTTTGTCCTGCCTTTTTTTCCTGAGTGCTGGAATTATGGATGTGTGCCACCATGGCAGGCGTTCTAAGCTTTTCAATGGCAATGATTAATATTTTAAAACAATCAAAAGCTGGGGTGGGAATCAGAGAGGAGGGCTTTGACATAGAAGAGCCTGGACCAGTGAAAATTATTTAGAAGGAGACTCAAACCTGAGACAGATAGGATCTCAGTGTGTTAATAGGCCAGAATTCTGGGACATTTAAGGACCAAACGCAATTTGATTTTGTTTCTGAACCACCTACACTGAGACCTACTTGGCAGCTCTCAGACAGAAATTGTGGCTGTTGGCTTTGTGACATGAATATTGATACAGCAAACCCTGGTTATTTACAGCATGGACTACTAGTCATACCAGAGTCTAAAGGACAGGTCTGCAGTCTTCAGATTATCCTGGGCTTGTGGAGAGGAAGCTAAATATGTGATTTAGTGACAGAGGGAGAGGGTGTCTGGGTGAATGCATCAGATGCTGTTGCATAGATATGAGAGCTGTCACCTTCATCAGAGACCCCCAAGACCCAGGTAGAAGAAGAATGGTGCTGTTTATGCTCTGAATGCTGAACTGAGACTGAGGGCGGAGCATCTGTGGTAGGTTGAGGCAGTGAATCGCAGTATGGCCCTCTCTCTATATGTTATGAAGTGACAGCTGCATGGCCCTTGCTATGGGGAGTAAGACCTACAACTAATTCTGAGCCATCAGAAGGAGGAGGGTGGAGAGGTATCCTAGAGAGGCAGTCTTCTCTGGTATAAAGTGGCCTGCCTGCTTGATTAGTGGATCCTACATGTGAGTATGGAGATGCCCCGAGAAGAGATGAAGGTCTAAAGCAAACATTGCAGTCTTCGAGAACATCACTAAGAAGTGTAAGTGCCAGCCAGGTCCTGTGGGATTATGTAGCTCTTGCTATATGTGTTTGCATGGAGGAAGAATTACAGTGGGAAGAGACTATGCCTCCAGCAGGCCCCTCCCCCTCCAGCTGGGTTCTCATTTGATGGGTTAATTCAATAAAAGAGGCAAGGAGATGGAGGTGTTGGTTTGCTGCTTCGTAATGGCTATGGGGCTGAAAAGAGAAAAGAAGATAAATAAGTTTTGATGAGCTCCTTTTGGGATTCAAAACTGTGGAATCCATGAGGGAAGCTGGATAGTGAAGAGGAAGAAAGTGAGTTGGGAGTGATGATGACACTTCCCAAGCCTCCCTTTGGTACGGAAAAAGAGATCCAAATGCATCTGGGGAACTTAACAGTGGCCTAGTAATCGGGAAATACATAGTACCCGAACTGCTTAACTTGGGAAAATCCTTTTAACAAACAGTGAAACTCCCCAGCCTTCTCATGAGGCTGCTGATTGTGGGATTGATGGTGTCTGTCTAAGCACTACAGAAGCAGAGCAGAACCCACACAATCCTCTGGGAGATAAAGGCTATACAAAGGGACAACACCCATGAGAGTCTGGCTCATAGGAGCCATTCGAGACACTTGACCATCATCAGAGGTCCCACAGGCATCAAAGACTGAAGGACAATAGAGGAGGGACAGGCAATGCTAAAAGAATTGGGCATGGGGGAGGCAGTGTTTGATGGCCAGTGTGCAGGTGTAGATAGGACTGTGTTCACCAAGAAAGAAGTTAATTCACGAAGGACAGTGAAGCAGGGATGGAGCTCTGGTGACACTTCTGAGCCCTGTGATAGGCATTATGTTATCTCTTTGAGGTAGGAGTGGCTTTGGTAGACTTAAGTAAGCAGGCATGTGGAGCGTGCCCATTGGCAATTGTGAGCAGGTAAGAGACCAGAAAGCCAAGTAGAGGGGCCTTTCCTAGTCACCTGGAAACAGATGTGAGCCAGAAACCATTGAGATAAAGCTGATAGAAGGTTAAATGTGGTGCTGGGGAATCTTTGGAAGGCCTTAAGGCCTGAGTAGCAGTTCACCATAGGGGCAAAAAAGAGAGAAAGAGATACAAATGATTGCCACTGCACCCCCTGGTACAGAGGAAGTTCTCTAGGGGTTGGGACTACACTACCCAGCTGTTTCCCTAATGGGGTGATCAGGGTCTCCTGCAAGCTAATGGAGAGCCTTGTGAATTTATTGTTTTCAAAATACTTAGGGTGCAGAATATGTGTAGGACCCAGGTGTGCTGTGGTTCCTGGTGTCCCCAGGTACATCGGAGGCCATGAAAGTCAGCTGCTAGATAAGAAAAATAGAGATGTGCAGGTAAAAATGCTTATCTGTACCTAAGGGTTGGCCACTTTCTTCGCTGAATATGCTGTGGACATTCATCACTCCCCCGACCACAGCAATAGAGGTTGTTTGTCCATCTAGGGGGTCCTCTCAGCAGCTAGGGTGCACTGAAGTGCATTGCCAGCCAGGAGTCTGCTGAATCCAAGGGGATGGATACCTGGAACAGTCCTCATCATTAGTAGGCCATGATCCCAGTAGTCAGCAGGCCTGTGGATTGCCCTGTTCTCTTTTGGCCTTAGGCCTGGCAATGCAGGTTGAGCCAGTCTCATTCACTTCATCAGAGGTGAGATGTACAGAGGCCCCATGGAAATGCCCAGGGTGAATAAGGTGATCAGTTTAGGGAGAATGTCTTTGAATTATGGACAGCTAACTAAGGTGGTACCCCAATCCATGCTACTGCACCAAAACATTGCTCTTCTAGCAGACCAACAGATACAAGTAATAGAATTTTTTCATGCAAACATTTTACTTTTGTATCATACTAGCTGTTGACTCCTGAGATTAACTAACACTTCTTTGAAAGAGTCAATAATGAACTTTCAGAGGAGAATAATCACATATCTATGCCACCTTTTTCCACGTCCCAGGGAACATGGGTGAGGGATGTAGATGAATGTAAAAACCAGAGGGACATATAGGGTGTTATATACTGTTATCCTTCCAACCTAACACCTGTCATTGTCATTAGAGCAGCTGTGACTGCTTACAGAAGACCTTCATGACAGGGTTGTTGACATTGTCTCACAGAAGGGATATAGGGAGAATAGTTATTGGACCCTCACCTTATCTAGGTCACGCTCTTCTGCATATCCCAGCTGACTGTATCATTTCACCGTAATTGCATGGCTTTGTGGTCATGGGAGATGTCAGAGTATATAGAGGGAGAAGATTTACTAAAGAGGGGACTCTATCTATGCAGCTATGGAGAAGTCATTGTCTATGCCGTGGTGAAACTTGACAGCGGTATGACTGCTTTGGGTCAACCTACAATCATGTAAGTAGACTCTGTTAGTAAGCCCCATGAACTCATTGGTTTACCAAATTAGTCTTTGGTGGAAAATGACCCCATGTCATCTTGACACACTGGTACATCACTATTAAACCATAGTCTTTCCTTTCTTGCTTGCCCCACCATCTCCTATTAACATCAATCTCACCATATAAAACATTCCAAATATTAAAACTTTTATAGTCTTTGAAAATGCAAACATTTTTAAAAAGTTCAGTCTTTTTAAAATATTCAAAATCTCTTTTCAAATTAAAGCCCATCTTCAACATCTGAAAGTCTCTAAAATATCCGTGGTCTCTTTAAAACTCCAGAGTTTCTTTAAAAGTTCATTTTTCAATCATCAGTTGTAAAATAAGAAAATAAATTACACACTCTCTTATTCCAAGAGGGAAGAGCCAGAGCATAGTTATAATCAAAGTAAATCCAAAATTCAACAGTGTGAAAGTGTAGTGCTTGGTGTCTAAGACCCAGTCATGATCCTTTGGGTTCCAAAGGAACTGGGCAGTTAGTTCCATTTCTTCAGCTTTGCTGTCGGCACCACACATAGCTAAATTGCTAGGTTAAGCTGGCTCCACTGCATGTCTGCTCCTGTCCTTGGTGGTCCATCCATGGTATTGGCATGCTCCAAATGTGGGGGGGATCTCTACTACAGTTGGTCTGCATCTTCATCAGTAGCCTTTCCTGGGCTATCTTCATCAACTCTGACCCTGACAGACACAAAACAGGACTTGCATTTATTCCCTGTATCATGTTGCTAGAGCTCTGCAGGCAGAATTTTGTTAGCTTATTAGCATAATGCTTTAGATTAGCCAGGGCCTATTGATCCCATTTCTCACCATGTGAATCTCAGTGACACCATGGTGGCCCAATGTTGAAATTTTATACAGTGTTGTAAGCTTTTAAGTGAACATGTGACTAATGGGGTTAAATTTACAATGTCAAATCTAATTTTCCTGTATATGGGAGTTAATAATGATGGATAGCAAATTAGCATATAAAACATCTTATAATTACTTTTTCATTAGATAAAAATGCTTTGAAGTAGAGGAAGCTAGAACAGTTGCAGTTTGAAGGGAAAAATACATCTTTCTTCTACACACTTTTTCAAAATCTTATGAAAATCTAGTAATAAAATCTCCACTGGAGACTTTAAGCAGTAAACTTGGGTGTAATTTAGAGGCTATTGGTCCAGCCCAGCCTCGAACTCACAGAGATTTGCCTGCCTCTGCCTCCCAAGTGCTGGGATTAAAGGTGTGTGCCACCACCGCCCGGCAAAGCTATGTTTTAATGACAGCTGTGATGGCAAATGTCTATGTTCACAACAGTGTGCAGGTGGGGCCAGGAAGGTCAAGAGTTCAAGGACAGTCTGGCCTACTTGAAAAATGTTTTTAATGGTATATTTTTTACATAGCCATTACATGTTTCTAATTACTTATCTAGAATTTCACAAAAAGATACTTATTTTCGCTTTTATTTATTTGCCTTTAAATAATTCTACTTACTTTTATACCCATTTAAAAATACTTAAGAACTACACAGCATGACTTTGCAGGTATTTGAAACTTAGGAGTTTGCTATTTATCACTTCTGCTGCTTTGGATTGCTCTATTGTATTTCCAAAGAAAATACTGCTAGGTTATTTATTCCTTTTTGGGTACCTTCTTTTTAAAAAATGTGTTTACAGGCAATGAGTAAACATATATGTAGATATCCTGGTTATGTAAAGCACAGATTCCATTTATACCTAAAGCATAGGGCCCATTTCTTACTTATATTTGAGTTTGGGCACTCACAAGTTAACCTGGTGTTGAATGTATTTCTGACTCTCTCTCTCTCTCTCTCTCTCTCTCTCTCTCTCTCTCTCTCTCAGACACACACACACACACAGTCTGTTTAAAAACTGTGTCTCCTTAAAGAAGAAAGTTAAAATAAATGAAATCAATCTAAATAGAACAAAACTTAGGTTTAATGGTAACATTCAACAGATGAAGTTTTGTTCTGATAGGTATTACTTTTAGAGTGATTATAGGGTAAAAGGGCCAGCCAAAGTTACATACCCTGATCCTGAAACCTGAGCCAAAGAAGCACACTTTGTCCCTGAAACCAGAGCCACTGAAAGAAACACACCCTAACTCTGAAACTGAAGCCAAAAGGTTAAAAAGGACCAATGGAAGAAACACATTTTGGCCAGAACTAAAGAAACACACTCTGCCCCTGACCAACTGAGCACAAAAACCAACCAATGCCTGAGCAGGAAAACCAACCAGTCCCTGAGCAGGGAATCAACCAATTCCTGAGCAGAAAATCCAGTCAGTCTCTGAGTTTGTCCAAACTCGAGGATTGAAATGCAACCAATTCCTACCCTGAAAATCTTCATCCTGGAAATACTCGCACAGTTGGGAGCTGCCCTTTCCACCCTGGCAGAGGCAGCCACCCTCTTGGGTTCCTCCCTCTCAATAAATCTCTCGAATGAGTTTTGGTGCCGCCTTCTTTTGACTGAGTGGGGTGGAACACAGCCTAGAAGTAACAACTTTGGCTGGTGCTTGAGCAGGCCAGAGTAGGCAAAAGTGTAAGACTTTTGCTAAGGAAACCTTCCCCTAGAAGATCAGAATTTGTTACTCCAGGGGATCTGAGTAAAGCTGTAACAACCTCACTGGGGAAACCTTCCCCTGCCAGAGCAGCATTGTTACATTGGGGAAACCTTTTCCTGGAGCAGAACTATAAATTGCTATGCTTATGGTGACTTTGTGATAGTCCTTGGCTCCGACTGCCAGGATACTTTTCCATCCAAACTGCAATGCTTACAGTGATTTGAAGATACAGAATATGGCTCTAAGGATATAGTATTAATGTTATAAATTTTATATTGCTAAGTAAAAATCACATAATAGAAAATAAGAGTGGGAAGTGTTCATGCCTGTTGTCTTAAATAGTGTTTCTATTGCCATAAAGAGACACCATGACCACAGAAACTCTTATAAAGGAAAATATTTCTTTGGTGCTGGCTTAGTTTCAGAGGTTTAGTCCATTATCTACATGGTGAGAAGCATGGCAGCATGCAGGCAGACATGGTGCTGGAGATGGAGCTGAGAGTTCTACATCTCTTGATCCACAGGTAACAGGAAGTGAACTGTCACATTTTGAGTGGCTTGAGCATATAAGACCTCAAAGCCCACCTCCACAGTGATGCACTTCCAACAAGGCCACACCTACTCCAACAAGGTACCTCCTAATAGTGCCACTCCCTATGGGCCAAGCACTTAAATACATGAGTCTATGGGGGCCATTCACATTCAAATTACCTCTGAGATCAATTTAAAAGTGAGAGTCTGGTATTCCCCATTCTTCTCAAAAGTTTTTTTTGAGATAAGATCTCATTATGCAGACTTGGCTTGAGCTGAACTTACAATCCTCCTGCCTCAGTCTCTTGAGTGTTTTGATTACAGGTGTGTGCTACCACACTTGTTATCTATTTTTTTAGATAATTTCTCTCATGGAAAGATGAGAAACGTTCAGTAAAGCCCATCATTAAATCCCAGCTGTGTAAGTCTGTTTCCCTCAAGTATTACACTCACAGTTGAGTGGAAGGAGAAGAGTGTTGTTCAGGTCTCACAGTTCTGGGGCTCTGCTCCACAATTGACTGGGACTTTTCCTTGGGCCTTTCCTCAGGTAGTACATTGTGAATGGATCTTGTGTCAGAACAAAACTACTAGCATCATTAGTGAGGGATGAAGAGAAAGGGACCAGAATTTCTCAATCCCTTTGGGAGACATATCTCTAGTGACCTAAGCCACCTTTAGAAAGCCCCACCTATTAGAGGTTGCCCCACTCCCAATAGCACATTTAAGATCCACAGAAACTATAGCACCATATTTATGTTGGTATTGGAATGAATGAGTGTTTGGAAAGTGAATATTCCAATGCAACTGCTACCAGGAGCAAGAAAAAAAGAGCCTTATTCAGTGCTACCCATTACCTGTGGTGCTTATGTCTCACTTCTGGAATTGATACCTGTTTTGGTACATTAATCCAGTGCTGTTCATAATATATAGACTAGAATAGGTATAGTCTCTTCATTGGTGAGATGTCACATTATTTTACAGTGATACTTATTTTGTTACAACTACACAAACTTGAGTTTGTGATTTTGGTGTATTTTTTTCATGATTTTCCATTTTTGGCTTTTAAAAACATATATCTAGGTGTGTCTCTTAGTGTCTGATGTTTTTATTTAGATGAGCCAATTTTGACTTTTTAAAATTTAATTAAGCTGGGTGGTGGTAGCATACACCTTTAATTCCAGCACTCAGAAGGCAGAGTCAGGCAAATCTTTGTGAGTTCGAGGTCAGCCTGTTCTACAAAGCTACACAGAGAAATCCTGTCTTGAAAAACCTAATAATAATAATAATAATGTCATTATTAATTTGTTTATTTTGCATCCTAATTGCAGGCTCCTCTCCTCTTAGTCCCTTCCCCCCTGCACCTCTATTTTTGCTTCTGAATGTTTAAAACATTGTATTGAATAACCAATTAAGGCTAGTTCTTCCCCTTTCACTAGACTTCCCCCTATTAAGATATCAGTTGATATTGTCAATGTTCAACTTTGTTTAGTCTGACATATTGTTGATGTATTATGAGTGTAGCGTCCCTGTCGTTTCTAGAGACACAATCTTGCAGCACACATTCTGGTCATCTGGCTTACAGTCTTTTTGCTCCCTCCTATGAAATGTTCCTTGAGCCCTAATTTTAACCCACACACCTATGAACACTTGATTTTTGACAAAGTAGCTAAAACTATACAATGGAAAAAAGAGAGCATCTTCAACAAATGGTGCTGGCATAACTAGATACTGGTATGCAGAAGACTGCAGATACATCCACGTTTATCGCCTTGCACAAAACTTAAGTCCAAATGGATCAAAGATCTCAACATAAATCCAGCCACACTGAAACTTTTAGAAGAGAAAGTGGGAGATACCCTTCAATGAGTACACAGGAGAACACTTCCTAAACATAACACCAGTGGCACAGACACTGAGATCGACAATTAACAAATGGGACCTCATGAAACTAAAAAGCTTCTGTAAGGCAAAGGACACAGTCAACAAGACAGAAAGGCAGTCCACAGAATGGGAAAAGATATTTACTGACCCCACATCTGACAGAGGGCTGATCTCCAAAATTTACAAAGAACTCAAAAAGCAAGTCTCCAAAACACCAAAGGATCCAAAAGGTGGGGTACAGAACTAAACAGAGAATTCTCAATAGAAGAGGCTAAAATGGCCAAGAGACACTTAAGAAAGTGCTCAACATCCTTAGCCATCAGGGAAATGCAAATCAAAACAACTCTGAGATACCATCTTACTCCTGTCAGAATGGCTAAAATCAAAAACACCGAAGACAATTTATGCTGGAGAGAATGTGGAGAGAGGGGAACACTCCTCCACTGCTGGTGGGAGTGCCAACTCGTACAGTCACTTTGGAAAGCAGTATGGAGATTCCTCAGGAAAATGGGAATCAATCTACCACAAGACCCAGCAATTCCACTCTTAGGCATATATCCAAAGGAGGCAAATTCATACAACAAGGGCATCTGCTCCACTATGTTCATAGCAGCATTATTTGTAATAGCCAGAACCTGGAAGCAACCTAGATGCCCCTCAACTGAAGAGTGGATAGAGAAAATGTGGTACATTTACACAATGGAGTATTACTCAGCAGAAAAAAACAATGGTCTTGAAATTCGAAGGTAAATGGATAGCACTGGAAGAAACCATCCTGAGTGAGGTAACCCAGTCACAAAAAAACATGGTATGTACTCACTCATATATGGATTTTAGACATGGATCAGGAGAGTGCCAGTCTGCACTTCCACTGACAGAGAGTCTGGGAAACAGGAAAGAACCTAAAAGATATACATGGTACCCAAGAGAAGAGAAATGAGGCAAGATCCTCTGAACATATGGGGAACACGGCGAGGGGTAGGAGGGAGGGGGACCCGGGAAATAGAGAGGGGGAGAAGTGGAAGAGAGAGTAGGACATGGAGGAACAGGAAGGTCGACTGGGGGGGGTAGGATAGGGGGAAGAGGGAATCATAGGTTAGAAGACAGATCAGGAACCATTGTGACCTCTAGTGATCTAAACGGATGACACCAATTGGCAAGCTAAGCAATAGTGTAGAGACCACCTGCAATGCCTATTCCTGATAGTGAACTTGATGTCTATAATCATCCTGGAGCCTTCATCCAGTGACTGATGGAAGCAGAGGCAAACACTCACAGTTAAATACTGAACAGAACCCAAGGAACCCAGCGACAGAGAAAGGAGTGAAGAGCAAATTGACAAAGAATGGGCTGGCAAAACCAGCAGAGACAGCTGATCTGAACAGGGGAGAGCTGGGAGGCCAGCATGGGACCGATCCAGACCCCCTGAATGTGAGAGTCAGTGAGGAGGCCTGGGCTACCTATGGGGTCCTGAGCAGTGAATCAGTGTTTATCCCTCGAATACTAACAGACATTGTGTGTCCACAACAGAAAGAGGGTTGCTCTCTCTTCCTGGACTCTTAGGGAAGTGCCTGGACCCTACCCTGAATGAAATGATAGAGTCTAGATATCCTCTATGCGGAAGGAATTGGCAATAGGGTGGGAGGATGGGGGAGAATGGTGGGGGGGTGCGGGAGGAGGGGAGGGAAAAGGAACTGGGATTGACATGTAAAACGAGCTATTTAAAATTAAAAAAATAAATAATAAAAAAGGACATTAGAAAGGTCACATGCTTATCTGTTCCTTATTTCTGTTTACAAGAACACTTAGTTCCTTGCAATTCCTGAGTGAGTGAGCTGGTATTTCCAGTCTCTCATACTTACTGAGAACTTTAGAAGACATCTATGAGAATTTCTTTGAGAGGTATTCTGAGCCTCAAACCCTGCTTTATGGAGTTTAAACCTTCTCTGATGTTCTGTTTGAGGTTGTTAGCCATAAGCTAATTAAGTACAGGGATTCATCTGGTAATAGCAGAGCTGTTACTTGGGTAGTTAAAATTACCCTGTTCTTGACAATAATGAAATTGCATCTGTTCATTCCAAAGAGAGATCAGCTCATTAAGACAGAGGCTACAGAGATGAGGGAGACCTCTGCATCTTCCTCCCTAGAGGAGTTGTGTCTTATTTACTTAGAGAGAGAGAGACAGAAAGAGACAGACAGACAGACAGACAGACAGACAGACAGACAGACAGAAAGTCTTTATAGCTACTTGGATTTAAGGCTTGTCCCTTATTTTAGAAGAACTTGTTTGTTTAGTGCTGTTTACTTTGACCTCTGAGAACATACCCCAGGTGGCAACAGGTCACCTGCATGCCTATTTGTTTATTATTTTATGCCTCTGCATGTGCATCTTTATGTGGGTGCACACATGTATGCATGTGTCTGTGTGCCCATGTGTGCGCTTATGCTGTGGAAGTTGAGGTCCAACTCCAGTGACATTGTCTACTGTGTTTCTTTGAGGTTGGAACTTTTCCTTTTATCTGAAACTTGTCTATTTGGCGAGGCTGGGCAGCAAGCCTCAAGAATCTACCTGTCTCTGCCTCGTCAACAATGGGATGATAGGCATGTGACACCGTGTCTAGCTTTTTAAAAATGTAGTTAATGGGATCAAACTCACGTCAGTTCACTAGTCATGGATTTGCTGTGAACAGCATTATGACAGGGAGTATGTAAGGATAAAGTTTTAGATATACTGTCCAAATGTATTAGAGTCTGCCACTTCTCTAGCCTGGTGACTAGCACAGAAGGGGCATGACGGAGAGCGACTACAAAAGGAGCCCTAACTTCAGACAGAAAAGCACATTCACTGTCCTGAAATCATACTTCATTTTTTACACATTGTAAAACAGTCATGCTTCTAAGTACTTGAAATTCTAATAATCTGTTTTTCTTTCTCAGGTGTGTCCTCCTTAAGTAGTCAATTTGCCAAACTCCCAAAAGGATTGAAGCATTTAAACCTATCTAAAACCTCATTGTCACCTAAAGGTACAGTATATGTGATATACTTCATATTGTGTCTCTGATTGTTATACCTGTTGCTTTTGACCAGCTATTACTATGCTATGTAGTTGATTAAAATATACAAATTATAGTATGATGACAGCTTTAAGGTTAAGATATTGTACAATTCAAATTTGATAATCTAAATTTAAATTATTTGTAGAAAGTAATTTTTAAATTTGTGCACAGTCTTAATTGTTTAAGCTTTGAGCCAGGGAGTTCTCACTGGCTGGCTGCCTCTAGCCTTGTAACTCAGTCTCCTTGAGGCACCTGTTCATGTTTTTCTTGGTTCATTTCCCCAACTGTCAGAGTCATTGTCTACTTCACACAGAGTCACTGGGATTTGCTGCTGAGTCACCATCATAGTCCCCCATTTCTAGTCTCTGTTCCCAGAATGGTTTATTTTTCTCTTGGGTCTGACTCCCCCCTCCCCCCCTGTGTCATTTATCTCATACTCATGAAACCCCATGCCTTCTGTTGCTCTGCCCAGAAGCGGTTCATAGCAGTATTAGAAAAGCCCTCCACACGCCATCTCTTAATTTGTCTCCATGCTTGAACCTGAACACCCTTTCATCTCCACATATTCACAGAGCTTCAGTGAACCTGACAAAATCTTTATCTGTGGGGGTCTCTGCTTCAACAGACTTCTCACTCCAGAGACTACCGTCACTTGCTCCTTCCTCTGTCTATTTATGGATCACACCCAGGGTATTACTGTCTCAGTACTGTGTCCTTTCTATGAGAATGTTTCATGTTGGGCCCACGATGCTCTTGTGTCTCAATCTTCAGTGCCTGGCACAATGCCTGCACCATTGTGGGCTTCAATGAGGTTTCTAGAATTGAAAAAAAAAAACTTGTCATTTCTTTTTTTTCTTAAATACATAATTTATTTATTCTTATTTTATGTGCTTTGGTGTTGTGCCTGCATGTATGTGTGTGTGAACCTGTCAGATCTTGGAGTTACAGACAGTTGGGAACTGCTATGTGGGTGCTGGGAATTGAACCTGGGTCCTATGGAAGAGCAGTCGTACTCTTAACCATTGAGCTATCTCTCCAGCCCCAAAACTTGCCATGTCTTAAGTGACATTCTCTGCTATCTGTTAGTCAGTTCAGATTATCTATGGTTGGAGCCTGGCTTTCCTACTTCCTGTCCTCATCTTTATTCCCCATTGACTTGTGAGATAGAAATAAATTTTGATTTTGTCATGATAGTGGTATTCAATGAGTTAATAAACACGGTTTTAGGCACTTTAATAAATACTGTCAGCAGCTGCCATACCTTCCATGATCACAATCACCATGCTATCACTGTCACACCATCACACTCAGCATCACTGTTGTTATCTCTATCACCATCATTATCATCATAATCATTGTCAACGTATTATCACCCTCACAATCACTGTCACCAAACCATTGCTACCATGGCTTGCTGTCACCGTTATTGTTATTGCTATGATGGTTACTCTTACTGTCACCATCACCATTGCTATCACTGTCAGCATTACTATCAATGTGGCCATCACTGATACTATTGTCACCACCAGTACCATCACCATCTATATCAAGACCATTACCATCACCATGGTGTGTTGTCATGGGTTGCTACGTACTTTTAGTTAAACATGGGACAACTTGCATATACCTGCTGCCAATTAAGTGAACTGCTTACTCTAACATTTAACTTCTCTCTAACTTTCCTTTCGAATCCCTTACCTCTCAACTCCCTTCCCCACTTGCTCCTTCACATGCTGCATGGTATATCTCTCTGTTTTTAACACAGGTGTTTTCTGGCTGGTAGAAGCATTATTCATTCAATGCTGTGTCTGACATCTCCCTGTCTCAGGGTGTCACCACTGGCTGTACTTTGGTTAAATGCCTTTAGCACTGGATGCTGGTCCATCCAGCCACACATTCTGATTGTAGAATTGCACTAGGAGTGTTTTGTAATTAGAATTGATGTATACTCGTGTACCCCTGTTTAACACTAACATGTGCATGTCAACTACTACTAGGAAATTTCCCCAGATCAATGTTAGCTGATCTGATGCCAGAAACCACATACAGGTCCCATGCTAAGAGTGACTCCTTTTTGCTTTTCCTGTTATGGTCAGAAATTGATTCTCAGAATCAACTTATTGGTATATTTCTGATAAAGAATTCAAAGACACCGATAGGTTAAATGCATAAGCAAATACTATTTTTAATGTCATCACTCTTTGTGCCCGAACTTCCCACTGTTTTCTGATGTCTGGACAGGCATTCATGTGCTGTGTTTGATGTTTCACAATTGTGACTGATGATGCTGGTAAACTCGCTCGTTTTAAATAATCTACCACACATCACTTTAAGTTCTTCAGCAATGCCAAAGTCATTGATGTGAACTTGGCCACTAATTTTGCTCATTTCCTGGATCTCTTTTTAGGATACAGCTCCTTAAGTTGAATTATTAGTTCAAAAATGTGTAGATATATAGAGCTTTTCATGTTCATTGCCATCTTCTCCTAGGAGTATTTTATATAAATTGGTTTATTTTCTTACCACCACTGAATGTTGTTTTCCCTTTTCATCCCCCTCCCCAGATTGAGTCTCCTGTAGCACAATTTGGCCTTGAACTCCTGATCCCTCCCTTCTTCTGTAGCTCAAACTGGCTTCTAATTCATGGCAATCCTCTTGTCTCAGCCTCCTGAGTGCTAGGGTTTACAGTCACGAGCTGCTGTGGCCGATGCCCTTTTTGTTCTCTAACACATGTGAGAGTTTGATGTTTTCCTTTTTTCAACCTTCCTAATGCTACCACCCTCATATAGTTACTCATGTTGTGGTGACCCCAACCATAGAACCATTTTCATAGCTACTTCATAACTAATTGTGTTACTGTTACGAATCATAATGTAAATAATCTGTATTTTCCAGTGGTCTTTGGGGGTCATGACCCACATGTTGACAACTACTAGCTTAGGGTATTTCCCCCAGTTTTCCTTAGTCTTTTGTGTTTCTTCTTGGAATGATGCTACTTGACATTCTTGGTCAGTTTTCTATTTACGGTGCTATTTTTTCTTAATGTATGGAAGTTCTCTACCTATATTAGTATGCAATTGTGTTCCACTATTTGTTCCACTATTATGATAAAGCAACATTGATCATCCGTCCTTTGCAGGACAGGCTTTGATTTTGAGGTGGCCTGTGGTCACTCATGTCCTGTCCCTTGGCCTTAGCAGGAGTAGGGTAACTGGACAGGCAAACAAAGGTTCTTTTGTGTCCTTGATTGAGGACAACCTGGTCTGCCTGAACCTGTCACAGCTACTGTTTCACTAACTGTGTCTTTCATATAGTGCAAGGGTTTATATCAGAATGTGTGTTTTGAGAATTAGCATTTTTTTATAAAATAGGATCTTTAGAATTTTAAATTGTCCTTTTAAGATGTATATCTTGAATTGTTCAATTTTAAAAATACTGGTTTCTTAAAGACAAATATGCAGGCTCTGAAAGGTTTAGAGTTTTCAATTGTAGTTTTAAGTTTCTACTAAGTGTGACATATTTTAGTTTAGAAAACATGTATATTCACGGTTCCATAATAGAAGACAGATTTTTTTTTTAAATCTCCCATGGACCCCAGCACATGCACTCACTCTCATTTCAGACACTCGCTGCTTGATGGCTTTCTGGACTCACATAAGCATCCTGCTGCCTGGCAGATTATGTCAAGGCAGGACCATCTGGAGCCACTTCTTCCAGCTGTAAAGTCTCCAATCATGAATACCAAGCATGGTCAGATTCCCACAATAACCAGAGCCAAGGATGGCATGCCAGTCTGTGCTGCATTTGGGTTGTAAGACCCCCATGTTTCTCCAGTGCTATAGTTTTGTTATTCCTGTCATTCTTGAGCTTATTAACACAGGCCTCATGTGAAACGTGGGCTCAGGAAGGGGGAGGGGACGACCCTTCTGCTTTAGGAGCATGAAGGTGGCCTGGTAACAGGGTCCCTCGAGTCTAGTCAGAGACTGGCTACCTGCCAGGCACCCATGCTTGCCAAGGAGCTCTTTGCTGTCAGGATTAATTTGGTCTTCTCATTTTGGAATTTTATTTATTGGGTTTTATAATCCTTCACTTAGATACATGACTTTATAAGTGATTTTCTTGATGAGAGTCTGGTATTCTCCATATATTTTAGGCCCAGTCACTCCACTAAAAAGAGAATGGTGAACACTGAGGGCAGGGGAAATGACTGGGGAGAAAGCAAAGCACTTTCCTTGTAGGTGTAAGGCCTGGAGTTTGATCTTCAGAAGCCACATGAAAAAAGCAAAACAAAAATACAGGCCTGGTGTCAGATACCTGCCATCCAGCACTGAAGAGGAAGAGATAAGTGAATCCCTGGGGCTCATTAACTGGTCAACTTAACCTAATTGGTGAGCTGCAGGTCAGTAAGATATCCTGTTTCAACAAACAAAGTGGACAGCTACTAAGGTTGAACTATTGCCTCCATATGGGCACATACACAAATTCCCCCCATACACACATGGATGTACATGCATACAGAAAAATGCATATGGATGACAGGGTGAAAGAAAGGATGTTGGTCATTTTTACACTCATATAGATCCTATATAATGCATGCATGTATGTTATAGAGGGTTGCTTTGAGATGCTCCTGCAGGTTCTATTTGTGAAACAGTTAGTCCTACCTCCTTGCATTGGATGCTTTTGATCCTTGTATGGATGGTGACAGTTACCTCACTGGATCCTGAGGATGGCTGTCCTCAGGGTCTGTGGGATATTAGAGTTTGGTTCCAGCTTCTCCCCCTCCATGTGCCAAGTCCCTTATATAAAGTAGCATAGCCTTTGCTTATAGCCCACATAATCTTGCTGTGTGTGTTAGATCATCTCTAGGTTATGTATAATGCCTGCTATAAGTCTATATAAATAGTTATTGTCTTAGTTTGCTTTCTATTGCCATGCTAAAACACTAGTCAAAGCCAACTTAGATAGGAAAGATTTTATTTAACTTATAGATTACTATCCATAATCAGAGGAAGCCAGGTCTAGGTAGAACTTAAGGCAGGAACCTCGAGGCAGAAACTGAAGCAGAGACCATAAGAAGTGCTGCTAACTTGCTTGCTCTCCATGGATTGCTCAGCCTGATTTCTTATAATTCTTTGGACTACTTGCTGTTGGGTGCCACCACACACAGTGGGCTGGATCCTCCCGTGTCTATCATTGATCAAGAAAATACCCTATAGATTTAACTACAGGAACTCTGATGGAGCATTTTCTCAATTGAGATCCCCTTGTCCCAGATGGCTCCAGCTTGTATTAAGTTGTGAAAAAAACCAAAACAAAACAAAACCCACAAAAAATAAAACTAACCAGTGTGTGTGTGTGTGTGTGTGTGTGTGTGTGTGTGTGTGTGTGTGTGTGTAAAAATCATTTAGGGGATGCTGACCAAGCAAAAAGTCTGCACATGCTCTGTATATAAGCCTTTTTTGTTTCTGGATTCTTAAGATGGGTCTCAGTATAAAGCTCAAATTTGCACTGTGGCTTTTTAAATTTTATTTTTATTTTTTTGGCAACTCCATGTAGCCGGGTCTTGCCTCAAACAATGTATTTCAGGCTGCCTTTTAAACTCTTGGCAATCCTCTTTTATCTCAGCCTCCCTAGTGTTGGATGTCAGAATGATCTGTAACTTAAAAACAAAATAAAAAACAAAACAACAAAAAAAAAACATTAAAAAAAGCTCTGGAATATTTCTGTGCCGGTTGGCTGAATCCACAGATGCAGAGCCCACAGGGATGAAAGCCGTCTGTGTCTGCCACTGAGCTAGTCTGTATATTGTCAGGTGATATCTTTGCGGCTCGGACACCTCTGTGTGGTGTATGTTAGGCTTTCAGTAAAGAATTTGGAAACCCTGCATCCTCTCTCTACATGGGTATGTATGTATGTATGTATGTATGTATGTATGTATGTATGTATGTGTGCAGCACTATTCTTTCTGGAATTTATCCTTTTTCATAATGGTCTCTAAATTGTTTCAGGACAAAGAGTGTGTCTTTGTATAACTCTACATCTCATAAGTGATAAATGTTGGGTTGATAGTCAAGGAATTCTTTATACCTGTTTGAAATATTTATTCCTCAATGCTTCTGTCTCCCCCTTTTCTATGTCTCAGTGTTCAGTCTCCCTTGAGATCAGGGGCCTTTCACAGGTTCCCATTGGAATGATCTCAGCCTGAGCCACTTCTGTCATGAATACCAAAATTTTATATTGCGTTAAATGAAAGTTTTCCCTTTTACTGCTCTACTCCTGACATCCTAACTCCCAGGAGGCAGAGGCCGGAGGATTTGGGATACATAGTGGAAACCCCATTTCTAACAACAAGAGGAAACAGTTATTCTTTTTGATTCCTTCATATTGTGAGCATTTCATCTCACTGTTTAAAAATCCACTTCAATCCAAATTTTACCATGAACATAAATGCTCTTCAATAGAGTAATATATTCCTCTGTCAAGTACCCAATACTTAGGTAGCCCAAATGACCAGTATTTGTATGTGTTTCATTTAAATACTATTCACTAAGTCAAGAATTATCTGGTAGGGTTAAATGTAGGCTTAAAATCATCTCATCACTCTGGGACTTGAAAGCAAAATGCTTTCTGTTCTTGAGTAAATTGAAAGATTAAAGTACAGGTTGTCGATGAGAAGTCTGGCTTCCCTGAGGGACTGTCAGGGAACCCACAATCAGTGGTCCCCTCTAAGGACAGAGCCCTGGCCCTGCAGGTCTGGCAATGTGATTTGTCCTGAGGGCTGTTTGTGGAAACCCCCAGCCTCATTTTGTTTCTCAGAGTGGACATTGAGCTTGGATGTTTCTCTTGTTGCAGGGGTGAACAGCCTTTGTCAGTCTCTCAGTGCCAACCCTCTGACTGCCTCTACCCTCATCCACCTGGACCTCTCAGGAAATGCTCTCCGTGGAGATGACCTCTCGGTGAGTTTTCCTTTCCTCTCCAAAGGGGCCATCATCAGAAAGCCTTCATCTCTAACCTGCCATCCCAGCTCATTCCTCTACCACACCCTTAGTTGACAAACTTTAAGATCCTGTTAAAAGCTCGTGCAATGTTGTGAAAATCCCTGCCTTAACTGAATGTAGCCTGTCAAGATAATTAAGTTGCTTCTTCATTTGATGGTGCTGAGGTTCACATCCTTTTTGGAAATAGTTTCATCATCAGATAGTGTTGTTGGGATACTGGTGCTGTTCATTTGTTTAGAGAGAAGCTACCAACCTTGAACCCACTATGTATCAGAATGCTGACTCTAACTCAGGGTGATTGTCCTAACTCAGTCTCTTCAGTGTGTGTGTGTTTATTTGAGTCCCCCCACACACACACATACACACACACACTTGAAATCATTTAAATAGAGTTTGTTTCCTGCTGTTTTCCATTGTCATTTCTGGTATCCACTGACGATCCTTAAACCTCCTTCCTCTGAAGATAAAGACCATGGCACCATGAGGGTAAATGAGGTGGAGTGCTGGCTATGGCAGTACATTCCTACTACTCAAGAGGTTGAGACAGAAGGATTGTAATGCGATTGAGGTCATCCTCGGCTGCAAAATGAGTTCCCGGCCAGCCTGGATTACAGAGTAAAATCCAGTCTCAAAAAATAAAATAGGAGTTGGAAAGATGGCTCAGTGGTTAATTTTGTAGAGGACCTGGGTTCAGATCTCAGCACCCACATGATAGCTCACGACCACCTATAACACTAGTTTCAGGTGATCTGATGCCCTCTTCTTATCTCTGTGGGTCCCTGTGTGCATGGATATGATGCAATATATACACCCATGTGCATACTATACTTATAAAATAAATAAGTAAATATTTTAAAATACAATAAATAAAACAAAAGCAAACAAAAAGGAGGCTGATATTAAATAAGACTCATTTATAATAGGGATACGAATAATGATCTCAGGCAACAAAATAGCTCCATGTTTCCTGGTCCAAGGGTACAGCTTGTTCCAGTTTGCCTCTGGGTACAGTGGAGTGCAGTGAAGGGGCTGAGTGGATGTGGGCTCCCAGCCAGGGAAACACCCGGGTTCCAGAGTCCTCAGCAGGTGCAAAGACTCACTTGGTTTCTGCTTTCCCAGAAAGCCACATGTAAAGGGTTCCATCACTACTTCAGGGAGGAAGAGCTCCCCCAGCTGGTGGAGGGAAGCAAAGCCACGCCAAAATAAAATGGCCTTAAGGAAGGTCACAGGAGTGGAGCCAGAGCTAGGCAGACTCCATGTAAATGAGGGTAACATGTTTCCGCTGAACCAGACCTTGCCACCATGTACTCTGTTCTGCGCCTCTGGTTACTCCAAAGTATCTGCCAGCTAGTTTTGTGTTCTCTTGAACTCTTTGCTGGAGAGAATTTTCTGAAGTCCATAGAGTCAACTGCGGCATTTAATGAGTGTTGGTTCAGGAATGAGGCTCTGTCAGCATAAGCTTGTGCATGTTTTCACTGAGTGTCACTCATTGAAGCAGAGGAGAAGTGAAGGTTGTCACCTGGGGCAGGAGACTTGGACTATGTTATTGGGGAGCACTGACTCCTGTTTATGCTTGGGAAATTAAAGGACATCAAAGGGATTTATTTCATTGTTTCCATGCCCATGCTGGGTTGTGGGGAGGGTCAGGAAATTTTAGGCATTGTGGTGCCCCCAAACAAGAAGTTTTAGCAGTACTAGAATTTTGAGTTCTTTTATTTTGTTTTTCTAATAGTTTCCTCAGGACGATCTTGTTAGATTTTTAGAAGTCACTAAAGATGGAAAAATAATTATATTGGGGAGAAGAGAAAATAGCCTGAGACAATCTACGGCTCAAATTCAAACAGTCCTTCTCTCAACACTTTGAGTGACTCAGATTTTGATGGGGTGACTGCCATCCAGGTGGTGTTTCAGACTAAGGAATTAAGTTAATTAGCAGTGCTCAAATTATATAATAAAACAGGAACTAATCAAGAAATCAAAGCCATGTGTAAAAGAGGGGTGTGTGGCAATAAGATTCCTCGTGGCCATTTTTTTTTTACTGTAAATTTTCTTTAAATGCCCTTCAGGTTTTTGCTCCTAGAGAAGGAGATAGAATAACAGCCAGTCTACAAACCTGAGAAACATTTAAGAAGGTCAGGGGCGTGGGTGACTGTTTTGAAGCATTAATGCGCATGGCAGTGTGTCTTCCCAGAGCCTAACACTCACTCTCTGCTTCTTTCCAGCACATGTACAATTTTTTGGCCCAGCCCAACACCATTGTTCACCTGGATTTATCTAATACAGAATGTTCTCTGGACATGGTAATGCCTCTTTCTACCACTCGGGCTCTCACAACGCCTACTTTGATGGGATGGAGACCTGTCTCTTTAGTAAACTATTCTCACAGACCTAGGGTAGTGTGAAAGTGATGGGCGCCCATTTCTTCCTCAGGTGTGTGGTGCTCTTCTCCGCGGGTGCCTCCAGTGTCTAGCGGTGCTCAACCTCTCCAGATCTGTCTTCTCTCACAGGTATGACTGTCTCCCTGCTACCATTGCTGTCTTAGAATCCCTCCTTTGAGAAGAGGTGTGAGGATAGTGAACACACAGTGATTGATGGAAAGAGAATGTGTTGTTGTTTGAGACAGAGTCTCACATTATAGCCTGGCTTCAAACTCATCCCAGTCTTCCTGCCTTGGCCTCCCAAGAGCTTGGATTACAGGATTGTAGACCATCATACCTGGCTTGGGAATGAAAGATGGTCTTAAATCATAGCTGTAAGTTTTTGGACTTTGAAAATTAAAGATTTTGTTGTTGTTGTTGCATCTTTTGAAAACACAAATTAAGGGCCTTGTCTATGTTAGCCTGCTTATATGAACTATATATATATATATGTGCATGGATTCACATATATGGGCAGGTACTTTCTTAATATAGTAAAACCCTTTCAAAAATGTCTATAGCTGCTTCTCAGTGATGAGGTTAGAAGTAAATATATACGACTTCTGAGAACAAAGAAGAATGGTCACCCTGAAGCTCCTGTTTGTGATTTGTAGGAGGGGAGGGAGGGCTAGTTATGTCATGTCAGTTCTACTTATACCTCAGTTCCAGACTCACACCTGCTGACACAGTGCATTAGGAGCAGCAAGGATTTGTAAACATCGGCCACTTTGCATGGAGTGAGTGATAAAAAGTACTTGGGCCTCACAGGTGCAGCATCCTTGGCCATTCTGTGCATTAGTCCCGTTCAACCCTCACCGTGCAGGATCATGAACACATGGCATCAATTGTATTTTGTACATTATACACTTTAATGATGTGGGATATTGCCTAATAGTAGCCCTTTCTCCAGATTTATTAGTTGATTTTTTAAAAACCTTATACATTCAAGAGAGTAACTTGATTTATTTGGAATATTCAATTTGGTAGTATGCTTTATTCTATATCTTACCTTGCAAATATATCAATATATATTTACAAATACTTTGAGTCCATTTGAGACTGATTGGACATTTCCCATATGGTGGCACACGTCCATAATCCTAGATGTTAGAGGTAGGAGAGTTGGGAGTTCAAGGTGATTCTCAGTCACATGGTGAGTTTGAGAACATCCTAGACTAAATAGGACTCTGTCTCAAACAAGCAAACAAAACAAAATAGAGAGGGAGAAGTGAACCTTTACATACCAAAACTATGCTTCCAGTTCCTCAGTAGAATGTAGTTAGAGGATGTCAAAGTCTGGGAGACAGCATGGGAGAGAGTGTTCAGCCAGGCTGTCCTGTCTTATATGTTTAGAGGCAGGTCATAAGCCTCATTGTGACAGAGCTGTAATTGACTGGGGAACTGAATTACAGGGTGACAGCTCTGCTTACAAAGGTTTTTGTATAATCAGCTCTTTCGAGTTCAGTCGCTGTGAATTCTGCCATGACTGGTCTTCAGAGGCACTGTTCTTTGAGTGTAGCAGAACGGTGTAACACATTGCCCTGTCATCCAGATGAAAGATTATTATTAAACCGTTAATACTCAGTACCTTGCTTAGATAGACTCCTGAAAAGCACTTGTTAATTCTGTTAAAAGTAGCGAGTCTATACTGAGGCATAGATTGTTAGCCAGTCTAGTTAACTTTTGTTCACAAATGATTTCATAGTTGTACCCACCAGGAGAGGCTGGGTAGTTTCAAGTGTGCCATGTGGGCTGAAAAATGTCACCTTCAGCCTGGGAGGAAGGAAGCATCCTTTATCTGAAAGATGTAACAGAGGACAAGATGAGGCTGGCGGTGTGTGTCCTGGCTCAGAAAGCTGCTTTCTGGGAGTCACATCATGTCCCTTCACTTCCATTGGTCGTAGAGGCTCACAGGGCTGAGCTACCTGTCCCTGGAGTGGTAGCAGGTCATTGTCTCTTATAAAGGGAAGCGAATATTAGAGAATGTTCAAAAAACCCAAAGAAGAGAGGCAGGAATAGGAGGATTTCAAAACAGCAATGTAAACAGCATTTGCTTACCAAAAACTAAACAGGACTATACAAGCTGACAGGCTCTGCCATCTGAAAACAGCTCTGAAATATCTAACATCCTGCTTATTCCTAGTAAAGATTTCCATGACTTACTTTTTCCTTCCAAAATAGCTGGAGATTGTCACCTTTTAAGACATTGCTTTTAAAGCTCTCAAGTATCACAGGTTTTTAAAGACCTCTGTACAGCCAAATACTGCTGTACAAATGACTTGCCACCATCTCAGTGGCATCATGGACTTCAACTAAGTGCTTCATGCTGCTGAGCCAATCCCAATTCCCAGAGAAGGGAGCAAGGTAAGCCTACACACTCACTGTGGGTGCTTGAGGCCTGTTCCTTTGCAAACCATTACAGTATGGGTTTGACTCAGCAATGTGGCTTCAGTGTTATGTCAGTATGACTGACATGACAAGAGGAAGCATTGTCCAGCCACTTTACTTTCTTTGTCTTTTTTCTAATGTTTGTCCTGAAACGATTAGGTTTACAGTGTGAATGTAGTAGAAAATGGACTATCGGGAATGCAGGCGTGGTGCATTTAGTTGTGCTGTTCCTCAGATCCACATCTGCTCACCAGCTCATTGAATCCACCTGCTGGCCAGCACTGGGTTCATAGTAAGATGACTTCAAAACAAAATAGGCTGTGGTGGTGTATTCCTGTCACCCCAGCACTTGGGAGGTACAGACAAGAGGCTGAGGAGTTTGGGGTTAACTTTAGCTATGTAGTGAATTTAAGAGCAGCCTGCATTGCATAAAACTGTCTCAAAAAAAAAAAAAAACACAACTGGGTCTATGGCTCAGTGGTAGAGCACTAGCCTCTAGTCCATGGAGTCATAGGTTCAGTCTCCAGTACTGTCAAAAACCAAGAGGCAAACAAGCAAACGAACTGTCACTGAGCACACTGATGCAGATTCAGCCTGTACCACATTGTCATCCAGTGACAAAGTTCTCAACCTTCATGAATAAGACATGATTCTAACCTCCATTTTAATGTTTCTTGAGGATCAGTGGGCTAAAATACTGCGAGTTTACTACATACCAAGAATAGTAATAAATTGTGTTGTGGGTTAGCATTTAGACTGATTTTGTGGATCTCACATCTGCATTCCCATCTAGTAAACAGATTGGATAGAATGTAACCACTGGTGTGATGCTTGCCGTATGTTTGTTTGTTGCCTTTGTTTTCCAGGAAAGGAAAGGAAGTCCCCCTGTCTTTCAAGCAGTTTTTCAGCAGTTCTTTGGCTTTGATGCAAATCAACCTTTCAGGCACGAAACTGTCCCCTGAGCCCTTGAAGTGAGTGATCCATTTGTCATCTCTAGAGCTTTTAAAGTTACATTTGTGACTGTGAATGTGCTGGAAGGAAGGCAGAAAGGCCCTTGAGAAAGCCTTCTGAGGTAGGAGAGTGACTTGCAGGTATATAGAGCACAATGGATGTGGCTGTATCTCCTATTACAGTCTTCTGTAAAAGCTGTCACATAAAAGTTGTGTTCCAGGCTTGTCTAGAAATAGCACAGTAAAGCCCATTCACGTGTAATTAGTGTGAAGTTTGGATAGTATCCCAAGTATCTTTTTAAACATCTATACAGTCCACATTGGACATATTCTTCTGTGTATGTCTTAACCAATGTTTAGCTATTTCTACAGCTACTAATAGTCAGATTTACTATATATCCCATCTATACAAGGACATCAGTTTGCAGCAAGGTCGTTACAGAGGTACAATAGGCATTGTTTGCCTGGTGAGGTGGCTCAGCAGGAATAAGCTGTTGCCACACAATCCTGACAACCTGAGCTTCAACCCCAGAACCCATGTAAAGGGGAAGGGGAAAACAGACTCCCAAAAGTTGTCCTTACCGCCATATATGTTTTGTGACTTACTTGTGCAGCATTCACACATGCACACATGTATGTGAATGGAAAGAGAGAACTGACTACTCTCAGTTTGGCACATGTCTACACACACACACACACACACACACACCCTTGTGATTTGGTTGCTGGTAGCTTGAAACAGCTGTCAGGATTAGCATTCTACAGATACTCTTTTATGCTTTAGTCATATTTTTGACATACGCATTCAGCTAATATTTATTTTAGACCTACCACATGCTTAGTCCTCTTTGCTCATAGAGTAGATTAGGAGACTAGCACATTCAGGATGGTTTTGGTGTGATCAGTATTTGATTCTTTAAGTATTGCTGACTCTTGTACATGTAGAATAGCTGTTCAGTGTCTACTGTGGCGTTCTCACTGTGTATACAAGACCTAAGAATTGCTGGTAGGACAAACTATCAAGAACCTGGCATGAAATGATCCCTTTTGTCCTGCATTCCTTTTGTACGCTCATTCTTTGGGTGTAGAGGTCCTTTCCCTGGGTGGAGGTCTTTTCTCTAGGACCACTGGGAACAGTTGTCACTCCTGGTAGGAAATGTGTAGTAGGAGATGTTTAGTATGTCCACTGTCTGTTTTGTGTCCTAGTCAGTTTCACATTTGTCTGTTTCCTTCCTGCTGCCCAAGTTTGAGTTCATCATGAAGTCTGATTGAGGACTTGTTTTCATTTTCTTCAATTTATTTTTAAATTTATTTTTTTCCTCTTGCTTTTAGAATTCTCTCTCTCCCTCCCTCCCTCCCTCCCTCCCTCCCTCCCTCCCTCCCTCCCTCCCTCCCTCCCTCCCTCCCTCCCTCCCTCTCTCTCTCTCTCTCTCTCTCTCTCTCTCTCTCTCTCTCTCTCTCTCGTGTGTGTGTCTGAGTATACCATGGCATGTGTAGAGGTCAGAGGACAACTTGTAGGAATTGGTTCTGTCAATCATCAGAGTGACTGATGTTGAACTCATGTCAACAGGTCTGATGGCAGGTGCCTTTACCACCGAGCCTCCATTCTATAGAGTTTAAGAGCTTCTGGTGCACATGTAGATTCAAGTGTGCTCGACTGCATTGGACTTCATAGGACTGACTTGTAGCAGTGGAATCAATCCACTTTCTTGAGAGTTTTGATATCTGGGCAATGAATCCAATCCCCTCAATTTGCAGAAGAGAGATATTGAGAGATACTGCCCTGTCCTTCAGGTAACTGGATTGCCAGGATCCTGGACACAGCTAAAACACATGTACCTCCTTATCTCTGGGGTGTCTGTGTCTTCACCTGCACATTTTGTTAGGTGACTTAATAAACTCATCTAGCTCTCATTTCACCCTCTTGAATACTGTGGGGCTAGACTCCCTCACTGTCTATTCCGTAGGGAAAGCCAGCCTCACTGTGCTATGCTAATAACTATCACCTAATAATATTCTAATGATCCTTAAAGCTGTTCTCAAGCAGATGCAGGTGGGACTTTATCTACGATGAACACAATTTGATTTCAGCATGCAATTAGGTGGGCTGTGGGTTTATTTGCATAGGAATAGCACTGTTTCCAAGGCTTGCATTTATGATGGAGTTACCTTCTGTCAGAAGAATGCAGAAGTGTCACATGCCCATTGTTGTCAGAGACAGAATGCAGTTGGCATTTTCAAAATGTGAGAGGGTGCTTGGTATATGACCTGTGTTTCAGATAGTGTGTTCATTTTCCAGGCTTTATTCAGCGTGTTTGTTCTCTCTCTTCTCTCTCTCTCTCTCTGTGTGTGTATGAGAGAGCATGTGCCATTGAGTGTGTGCGTATTGCTGTTCATCATGTGAAGTTGTGCCTAATAAGTCTTGTTTCCTTTGCTCAGAGCACTCCTCTTGGGCCTGGCCTGCAACCACAGCTTGAAGGGGGTCTCTCTGGACCTCAGCAACTGTGAGGTAAGATATCCCAGACAGCACACTGGAATAAATAACAGCCTGAAAATTGTTTTTGCATTCTTCCTGGGAAAGTGAGATATTGTGGTTCCATAGGGAGAAGTGAAGCAGAAAAACACATTATGCAAGTTTCACATGTTCTGTGTTTTGCAATTTTATCTACAAGTCACCACAGAACACCTCTCCAATTATACCTGAAGATGCTTTGAATGACTTTCCCCTCATTCTTAGCGCCTGTTACCTGAGTGTTTCATGATGAATCCCCATGATACAAAGCCATAAAATAGCTTCACTGTCCTGAAATGCCATGCACCACATTGCTTTTAGGAGAAGAATGCATAGAGTTAAACTTGGATTTGTAGGATGTAAAGCAGAATGACTAGTTCTTTATTAACTCTTTTTAACATCTTAGTTTAAGACAGGACCATTAAAACATCTCTTGAAATTATACAGCAGCTCTGAACACTTCCAGTTGAGGAGCCTGTTAAGGGATGCTCTACCTTG